CTACCTTTACTACTTCTTCTGTTACTTCTTCTACTACCTTTACTTCTTCTACTACCGTTACTTCTTCTTCTGTTACTTCTTCTACTACCGTTACTTCTGTTACTTCTACTACCTTTACTTCTTCTTCTGTTACTTCTTCTACTACCTTTACTTCTACTTCTTCTGTTACTTTTACTTCTACTATGTCTTCTCCAGCAGTTGCAGTGACGCTTTGCATGACTTTGTGTTTTTATTCTTCTTCATTTGAAAACCTTAAAGATTAAATCAACATTAATTCTACACGTCGGATGAATAAACAGCTGTTTGCTATTTGTTTCCTGCTGGTCCGTCATTTATTCCTGTCCCCTGGAAACAAGAGTTTCACTCAGTGTGTTGGTTCAGGAGTCAGACCAGGACCAGCTCAGACCAGGACCTGGTAGGTTTTACTGCTGTTTGTTCTTATAACTAATCATATGCAAATGATCCATGTGATGACATCGGCACAATATTGACAAAAAGTTTACAGAAAAGTTTTTTAAATACTATACTCTGACTTTTTATGACCTGCTAGTATAGTCTTAGTACGTATTAGTACAATACAAAGTAAAATGTTTACCTCTGAAGGTAAACATTAATGAAGGTAATGTAGTGAAGTTGATTTTGAATAACTTTATTAGCATTCTAGAGCAGTGTTTACATCAGGGGGCCAAAAGAAACCATGTGACCTCCCAGAATCCACCTGGGCAGAGCGTCGTCATGCCGACAGTTCAACGGTTTCTCTCAAGTCAACCCGACAGAACGTCTTTAAAGGGTTAATTTCAAAACTAAAACACGTTAATCATGTTCATCTTTAATATTTCCTATTCATTTTGAAATGAAAGAAGTTTTAATCATTGAAATCCAACAACAAACAACAATAAAAAGGCTGATGTTAAATTCTATCTGAACTGCATTCATAAAATATAAGTTCATATTTCATAAATATACTTTTAAATATACTGCAGAGCAGTCGGAGGATACAGGAGAGCTCAGACAGTCTTCCTGACTAACAGCAGACTCTTATTTTGAAATAAAAGCATGAGAGAATTCAAAATAAGACGATTAGAGGTTAAAAAATATATATATATTTTTCTATATATATATATATATATAAATCATTTGTAATTATCAGTGTTTTGATGTTAAAAGTTTGTAAAAATATTAGTTTACTTAATTATATATAAAGAAACTAAATATAAGGATTTAACTTCCTGTTTGGTATAAATATGTCGACCTTTCGTTCAAACTTGATTAAAATTCAAAGTCTTGACTTAATAACTCACATTTATCCATAAAGTCTTCAGGTGTTTTCCACGTGAACGTTTCTTCTTTTGATTTCATTGTTATGATTGATTTTGTAGAATAAAAGGAACATTTGGGATGTACAGTAATGAGGAAATACGTCGTTATAACGTGAGCACTCTTTTTAAATCACGATGACATTAATACATTAATATATTAATATATTTCTTCTTTCATCTTTTTTTCCTTCATGGTGGAAATCAGCTGACCGACTTCCACAATAAAACACCTTTCTGTCACGTAAGAAACTTTAAATAAATACAAACTGGAGGAATAATATTTAGTTCTCTTTCTTTTACTTCATTTAATTCTTAATTTCTTCATATGAATTATAGATTATTGTATCAAACTGTCTTCAAGCTCTCCGACACGAGGCTCTGCACCAATATGCTTATTAAAATAAGAATAAATATTTCTGATATATTTCAGATCATCTGCAGGAATCTGTCCATCTCAGGTCCCAAAGAATAATACTGTTTATTGATCCACGTGTCCTTTCGTTTAGTGTCCTTCCCTTCACTCCTTCCTTGTTTCCTTAATGTCCTTCCTTGTGTCCTTTCGTTAACACTTTATAATAACCATCATCAATGAATGGTACATTTATAGTTAATTAAACTTTTATTAACAGTTATCATAATGTTAATAAACAATGAAATGATCATTATTGATCTATAATTACTCTTATTTTAACTGTTTCATACATCATAACATTTTATATACTATATTCAGAATTCACTAATCAATACCAAATGATTTGTAAAACATTTATGAACATAAAGATGGATGGGTCAGATATTTGTTAATACTTTGTAAAGTATCTATAAACATTATTTGAAATGTTAATACATACTTTGTAAAGCATCTATAAACATTATTTGAATTGTTAATACTTTGTTAAATGTTAATAAATACTTTGTAAAGCATCTATAAACATTATTTGAATTGTTAATACTTTGTTAAATGTTAATAAATACTTTGTAAAGCATCTATAAACATTTGAATTAATACTTTGTTAAATGTTAATACATACTTTGTAAAGCATCTATAAACATTTCAATTGTTAATACTTTGTTAATGGATAATAATTGCCGTCTGTTCCATCTATCTATGTAATATTCATAGATGTTTTACAAATTATTTGATAATCGTTAAAGAATACTGAGTATAGTATATCAAGTACTATAATGTGTGCAACAATAAACTGTTAATAAATAATTTACTAATATATTTAGGATAAAATTGTTATCGTCTCTTATCCGCTATGATACGATATACAGTTATAAAGTAAACAACCTAATGATACAATAATGAGTATTAAATGATTCCTATTAATCAATAAACATTTTTATTCATCATTTCAAAGTAAAATAAGTGAAGTTTGATTAACTATAAATGTACCATTTATTTATGATGGTTATTATAAAGTAGAAGCTACTTTCTGATTGATACATTCTTTAGTTTCTTCCTCCTCGGCTCCTCAACTCCTTGCCTCCTTCTTGCCGTTTCGTGGTTTGTTGCCTAGCAACGTGTCCATCTCTGCGATGAGGGGCGGAGTCAGCTGAGACAGAACCTCCAGGAAACAAAGACAGACGATGTTTACGAAGTAAACAAGTAAATAAATACATGCAGGCTGGTGAAAGTAAACTGGCAGGAAATGGAAATACTCAAATTAAGTACAAGTACTTCAAAATTGCACTTAAGTACAGTAGTTGAGTAAATGTAGTTCCTGTCAGTACCCTGATAGAACCGAGGTTCTCCAGCAGCTGTTCTGTGTTGGAGACTCCGAGAAGAACCGAGCTGACGCCTTCACTACGGAGACACCATGCTGAGAGACATACAGGCAGAGAGACAGACAAGTTGTCAGACAGACAGGTGGACAGACGGACTGGTGTTCAGACAGACAGGTGGACAGACAGGTGGTCAGACAGACAGACAGGTTATCAGACAGACAGACTATCAGACAGACAGATGGGTGTTCAGACAGACAGGTGGACAGACAGACAGACAGACAGACGGGTGGACAGACAGACAGACAGACGGGTGGACAGACAGACAGACGGGTGGTCAGACAGACAGACAGACGGGTGGTCAGACAGACAGACTATCAGACAGACAGACTATCAGACAGACAGACTATCAGACAGACAGATGGGTGTTCAGACAGACAGGTGGACAGACAGACAGACAGACAGACGGGTGGTCAGACAGACAGACTATCAGACAGACGGGTGGTCAGACAGACAGACGGGTGGACAGACAGACAGCTGGTACCTATAGCGAGCTGAGCAGCAGTGCAGTTCAGTTTGTCAGCCAGCAGGTGGAGCTCTTTGATCTTACTGAGCTGCTTCTTCCCCTCATCGCTGTGGAGACGCTCCTTCAGCCACGCATAGCCCTACACACACACACACACACACACACACACACACACACACACACACACA